GAAAATGTATTTTAACACACACAATACAGGACTATTAGTGTCCAATGGTTAACGTTAGTCGCTATCCTACTGCACTAAATGGGTGGTGACACTTTTTTTGATGATATATTAAGTCAATTTTGATTATTTATGGGCGTTACACTGTGGTGATATGTACAACGTAAAAACAAACAAAACACAAACAATCCTAAAAACAAATCGCTCCGTAAATCAATCAGAATTTAAACCTGATCGTTCAGGTTCATCATCTCAAGTCCATCGGTCCTCCCAGTCCAGTCCAGGCCACCTCTGCTGCAGAGCCTGTTTATGTTTACCCCCAGTCTACCTCAGTAAACAAACGCTGCCGAGAAAAGCCTAAATCATTCTGCTCTGACTCAACATCACATTACCGCTATTCAATTTCGTCCGAGGGCTAGCAAAGGAATCCCAAAAATGATGCACCGACAGGCTGTCAGGAGAGCAAGCCCCGTTATTGTTCCGCCGCTCCCGCTCTTCTGCTCAAAAACAAAAAGGAAAAAACAACACAACAACCAGAGCAAACAATCTTCAGGGACAAAGATTTTTTTTTGTCGTTTTCGAGTTAAAAATAAGAGCAGACTGTCTTGCTAGCACTACCGGTTAATTTCTATAACAGCACGAGCTGAAAGTAGCAGCAGCTGATGTCCTGCAGTTCCATTTAAATGCCGAGTCGGAGGAAACCCGAGCCCGCCGGAAGTGCCCAACGGCTGGCAGCCCGACCAACCGTGGACCCGCCCAGTGATGAGAGAGCTGGAGAAGCCGGCCCGGACGACGCCATGTTGGATGAGACGAGACAGGGGAGCTACAGTTCAAACACATCGCGCCACCTAAAGGTTAATAAAATAACTTGAAATATTTGAACCTTTTCTTTCTTTCTTTCTTTCTTTCTTTCTTTCTTTCTTTCTTTCTTTCTTTCTTTCTTTCTTTCTTTCTTTCTTTCTTTCTTTCAATTATTGTACCAGAGTAACTTGTATCAGAGTAATTATAGTTTTGTATTTTCTAATTAGTTTATTGTTAATATTATTTTTGACATTTTGTTGTTAATTTAATTTAATTCAATTTCCGATAGTTTCCACATTGGATTTCCCAGTTTCAGTTTAACTTCCATTGTTTGAAAATGTTTCGTTTTAGTTATTTTATTCAGTGTAAGCTTAAGTTTGTTTTAGTTATTATTGTATGGAGGACATGTCAGAGGCAAGATAAAGGAAAATCAGTATGCCAGTAAGGACACAAACTCTTGGAGGCATCCAAAGTCGAGGATATTTCCTCTATATTTTTATTTTATTTTATTTGGGTTTCTAAATTCACGAAAAGAAAACCTGTAGTTTTTTATGTGTGTGTTTGGGGAGGGTCAACTTTTTTCCACATGTAGTTTTAGTGTTTAGTTCAATTTTAGTTAACTACAATAACCTTGACTCATACACTTACAAATATTTTAAATCCTCTGCTTTGTATTTAACCTGAATACATTCAAATACGTGCCTTTATTCTTCCCATCCAGAATCAGACATTTAATCACGGCCCATTCTTAAAGTAATTAAACGTGTAAAAAATGAACTTTCACAGCCTATAAATTAGGCAGAGAAGAAGAATTGGCACGATAAAGGTTTTCAAATCATGGCGGGTAGCAAAGATAAAGCGAATATTTCAACATTTTATTAACATGTGGGGACATGCCTGACTGGTAAATGAAAGGTAGATAAAAGTATCAGCTGAGATGAGGATATTTGATATCCCAAAGCAAAATTGGAAGTTTGGATCTTGAATGATAGCGTCTGTATGCATTATATAATATTTAAGAAAGACCTTTTACCCGCTTGTGTGGTTTAAAAAAATCTATATAATTAAAATATAGTAATAATTACAGTATTAATAAAGTAAAACATAATTTATCTGTCTCACAAGGGTCCTTCTCTAAATAAGTACTTATCCCAGTTTTGTTTTCAACCTTATGTCATCTACAGTTTAACCAGCAGATGTCGCTAATGTCTCTACTTTCACTTCGGAGAGGCGCTAAGCATGTATTAGGAATAGAAACAAAAGTAAAACAAAAGTATTTGATGTCGTGTCAAAAAAAAAGCGATATTCATATGTTGTTGTTGTTGTTGTTGTTGTTGTTTTATATATAGGTTTAGAACGGGCCTGGGAGTTTGAGGGTCCTGCGCAGTATCTTTACATTTCCTACGAATGCGCTCTTCTGGACAGAGAGATCTTGGATGTCAGAGATATTGGATGTTGTGGGATCCAATTAAACTACTCGTCCAGTTCCCTTGCCTTGCCACTTGTCTTCACCGTCTTCTGTTCCTTCTTCCTGATGTTCCTATCACTTATACAGGAACAACAACAAAGTGCACAAGTGAATGAAAGAACTTAATTTTGTTTCACCAACTTTTCAAATCAGGACATAGAATGATAAATGTTTTAAATGATCAGGGGCGGTAAGTGTAAAGACAATGCACTAGGTACAATCGCCACTTGCTTACTTTATGCTTTACTCTTTTAACAATAATCTTTTTATCTTCTTCAAAGCTACATATTTTGAACATTCATCACATATTGTGACACCTGGAACAAAATTCAAGTTATAAGCATCCTAAATCTAAACCACATTACCATAAAAAAAATGTGACTTCAGGGTAAACTTGTAATTACATAAGTTCAGTCTAACTTTGAGTTATTGTTCCTCAGTATTCTTGTCATTTTCCATCAATTGAATATTTCTTTTCTTTCTTCAAATAAAGCACACACAGGTGTCAGCAAAACTTAAACACTGAGATACACAATAAGCCAGGTTGTATTTATGTCTTTTGTGAAGTATACAGAGCTTAAAACCTCTGCAATCTCAAAAAGATAAAATGAATTGTAAAAAACAAAACAAAAATTAAAACCACGTAAAAACTGTCACAGTGGGTGGAGGAAGATGACTTGAATACGAGGACTCCAAAGAACTTAACAAACAAACTTAGTAATCAAATGACTACCCTTTTATTTAAGCTGGGTGCCAAATTCTGTTGAACAAAGCAAGTATCCAGTGACAGAACACACAAGGGAAGGTAAACAGATATTCAAAGATCTAAAGAAAAGCATATTGTCATGAAATTATACCTGGGTAATCAGAGTGAAGTGCGGAGAAAAAATCTGAATACACTGAATAAACAATTATATAATGACACTATACATCAAAATAATACATTACATATCGAATTTTGTGTTTTTTATTTCTACTTTATTTTATTCCTAAAAACAATGAAAGTCGTGCTGTGTAATAACACAATGGCAGTGCTAAATTAAAAAAACCTAATTGCTGTACTTTATTCAACCTTTATAAATATAATTTTGCAAAAGCGCTTTAATGACACTTAAACTTATCCCAGGCTGTTTTTGCAAGGCCTGCAGTGCTTTTTCGCTTGGTTCTTGTATTAAAACAGAGACATCTATGTTAATTTATGAAATCAATCTTTTTATCTACATTTTATCTGATATAATAATTATATATAATCAGATGGTAAAAATGGCTTTCATAAACACCAAGAATAATAAGTAATGAACAATAAATACATGTCTCCTTCTTTGCAAGCTACATATTCATTGCATAGGACAAAGTAATGAATTACAGGTACTATTAGCATTACTTTTTGGGGAACAGTTCTTCACATATTCCTGTGACCCACCCCAAAGTGCCACTGCACTGAAAACTGTTTTTGCAAAATTTACTGACAACAATGTACATGTAAGTTACACGTAAATGGCAGTTTATTCTGAGAACATCTACTACATAATGAATATAATCAGTAAGGATATGAGTGTTTAAAAATAGTTCCCAAATGCTCTATAGACATTTAGTAAGTTCCTTGCAGACTGTTTAACGTATCTAGGAGGATTTAGGGAACAGACATCCATACGTACACAAACTTTGAGTGGGCCAGATAGAAACATTTGTCTAACCATACTTCAAAATTGTGTTATATTATGTGCATTTAAGAACAGATACTTTGGTACCAATTCTGTCTATTTGCATAGATGCAGGCTGAAATAAAAGCTCGCACAAACCTGTTTCCTGCGTATAAACAAGCTGTCAACAGGAGGATTACAAGCTAAGTACAACAGCTTAGAACAGATGAACAGCGTGCTTGATCTCAGCATCCTTTGATTTCTGGAAGTGTTCCTGAGTCTTTGACAGTATCATGCCTTTTTTAAAAATGTGGTGCTACTACTGGGCCCAGAGATCAAAGTCATCCAATATTGATTTTTGTTCTTCTCCCTTGTGCACAGAGACTTCTCCAGATTCTCAAAAAAGATTGATAATATTGTACTTTATTATGTACTATAGATAAAGTCTTCATAATTACACACTGAGAAGCATCATTCTAAAAGTATTCCACTATTTCTAGATGTAGTTTTTTGGGCAAACCCATGCTCACCTTTTGAGAATCTTTGCCTCTGTAAGATGCTCTTTTCACACTCTATCATGTTACTGACTTGTTGTTAATGAACATAATTAGTTACAAAATGCTCTTCCAAATATTTTTTACTACCACTTACCTTTCTAGCTTTTTGCTGCCCCCCATACCCCCATCCAAACATTGTGATTTGTTGCTGCCATCTAATTTAAAACAACCTAATAGTTTTCATGAAACAGTAAAATGCCTCAGTTTAAATATTTGATATGCTCGCTGTGTTCCATTGTGAGTAAAATATGGGTTTATGACATTTGCATTGTACACAGTGTCCTAATGCCTTCTTAAAATACAAGGGTTTAACTGGACAACAAACTATATAAAGCTATAAAACAACATGGATATCATGGTTTTAAATGAACGGTTAACCAGAGTTCATGCACCAAACTGAGTTCTGTAAATGCATTAACCTGAAACAACCTGTTTTAGATGTTATCAGTGTGCAGAATGGACGTTAGAAGTGGGTGTCAGAAACTAAATGTACCTGTTTCCCCTCTGTGTTGTTTTAGTAATACAAAAGGTAAAGCTTCTACAGGAAGAAATAATTTATTCTCAGAAAGTCCCATCGAGCTACAAAGAGATGGTATGAGTCAGATGTTACAAATTAACATATTTTGGGCAGTTACAACTTCATGCAGGAACAGCACGGGCACAGAAAAAGGAACGGTGTTAACACAGACCACACTGATTTCCTTCAAAAAAAGTCAAAACAAAGTATAATTTATGCACAAATGTTCAGAAGTGCCAGTGAAAGCCTTTTGTGTACTTTGTAATGATCACATATTTTAACTGCTATTTTAAGCGTGTTGTTGGTGTTGGAATGCAGGACTCACTGCAGTAAACAAGTCTGACAAGTTCTAAATGACAAAGTGTAAAATATGTTCTGTTCAGCTCAGAACAGAAACAGCAAAAATGGAGAAGAACAAGGTAAAACCATAATGTTGTTAATACTGCAGATGGGAATACATTTGCAAGGTTCAGAGAAGCGACAAAAGACGATATGATGGCATAATCAGATTTCACAGATTTAACCAGTTTTTTTAACCCAAAGGCACAAAGGTAGTGGACACATACTGCAGATCATACAACTCATTATTAATCAAAGATGTTGTCATGATCATGTACAGTTACACTTCTCATTCCACTTAACATCATCATTTCCAGTTACAGAACAGATACTGCTGTTACTGGCAGTGAAAACGAGGGATTCGTTTCACAAACACAACAGCAAAAGGTGTATAGTCCACAGTATTTAAATAAAAGCAGGTTGAATGCTTTACTCGGAACAGCATGATGGACAAGCTGATAAAAAAAACAAAAAAACTACCCCCTGTAATTCAACCTTTACAAGTAAACACGGACACGTATGGTCATGCAACATCTACAATACACTGCGATCATACCCTTAAAAGAAAACACACGGGTAAAGTTTCCTATATAGGATTTTGCTGTACTTTCTATTTAAAAAAAAACAAAAAAACCCCCAAACAAACATCTGATTATCTTAGAGAGATATGTCAGACACCAGTCCAGAATGAAGTGTAGTTTCTTCGTTATGTTAGGTTATGATCATATGTTGTATTATCTTCTGTCACTATCAGACAGCTACATGAGGATGGATACAGATTCAAAACAAATTACATTAAAATATACAGTGTATCTTGTAATTAAGATAAATACATATCCTTCAAAGTTCACCATAGTATGATTTCTTCATGTGTATATCAGTAGATTTTCAGCTATAAAGGTAACATTATTAAGTGAGTACTAAGTACTAAACGCTGCTTTTATCGCACACTGTATGCATTTGAATAGAGCTGAGAAACTGTATACTGGCCATGTTTCCTGGATTATCTTTCAATAACAGGGTTAGTGGTTTTTACTGATGAATATCATCTACTGATCCATGGGGATCCCAACAAAGTCCTATTTGTTGAAAACCTTCTCCACTTCACTCCCTGTTTCCACCTGTCGTGTTCTAACTCTTTCTATTCCTCTTCGTCACTTGCTTGGCTGACAGAAACATTATCTAGCCTCAACCTAGCTCTCGTCACATACTCCTCTTCACTCCGTCTTCTACCTCTCTCTAAAAGTAGAGGTACATGCAGTCCTCTTTCATGATTGACACTAAAGTCATCTAGCGTGATGTCAGATTGGTCCGAGGAGGAGGCAGACATGTTTGGAATGTTCTGTGGGGCATAAGCAGAGATTAAAGGCACATTTTCACAGTTGTTTCCTTCCTCCACACCTCTGTTTGCCACTCCCTCCCTATGTGTGCTCCAGATCACCTCTCCATGCAGCTCTTCTCCCCTTTTTACTTCCTCCATTGTTTGCAGATTTAACCGAATGCTTACCAGTAAACTTTCAATCTGTCCATCCTTCTTTTTATTGAGCCCACATGTAGCTGATCTTGGAAAAGACTGTAAACCTGCAGATGACTGGCCATGTGTTTGCATGGGGGTTTGTTTGCATGTCCAAGAAGTGTTAGCCTGAGGAGCGTAAGCTCCACCAGAGTTAACGCTCTCAACTCTCCGGTCTCCATCATCTTGATTCCCTCCTCTTGCTTCCTCTTCTCCTTCAACAATGATTTGAGGAGCCATGCTGATACCCCCGTACTCAACGGACAAATCATCCAAGGGAGCCTCATGCCTCTGGGGCGAGTAGCTTGGTGGGGGATCCACAACTTGTAGAGAGTAGATGGGGTGTTCAAGGCCTGACATTGTGAATAAGTTTCCTGGTGGCTCAGGGCTGATGGGGCTGATTGGGATGAGGTTGGAACTCTCAGGAGGGAACAAAATAGGAGACTTGTGAAAAGAAGGTGGGTTCTGGAAATTGGAAGGGAAGGAAAAAGGTATGAAATGTTTGATAATTTACCTTTGAAACACTACTCAAAGATATCTCATTTAGGTGAAATGCAAAGCAGTAGTTTCAGTTTGCAAGTGCAATTATGTCAGTGGTTCCCTAAGGTGAATTGTTAAATTCATATTTTAAAAAAAACAAAACAAAACAAAACAAAACAAAAAAAAAACAACATGCATTGCCCAGTTTAGCGAACCTACATTAATTAAAGTTAAGTGCTGTTTAGGTATTGAATTGCCAGTATGTTTATATGCATTTCTATTACCAGTATATTTGGACTGTGTTGGTCTTTCCCAGACAGGTAGCGATGGAAAAGGTAGGCAGCTGCAATGATCATACCAATGCACAAAGCTGGAACAACAATACCCACAGTCACACTCTGCAGCTGCTCAATCACAGGGTCTAGAGAAGAAAAAAAAAGAAAAAGAGGGTGAAGTGAGTGAAAATATTTATTCATCCAGGGCTTGTGATGTGAAAAGAAAATAATCTAACATCTGAACCATTTCCTTGACCGACATATTTGGCTCACACAAGGAAGTACAATACACCTGCCGCACAAACACTAATCGCTCTCCAGCTTTGATATCATGTTTATTGACATTTTTTTCTACATTTCAAACAGGGAGCCGAATATTCTCATTTACAGACACGGTCACGCAATGGAGTTGTACCTTGAGGTGTGGTTATGCAGAGCCATGCAGAGGACTGGCAGTGGATTGGCATCGAGGAGAATTTCAACTGTGCAGAAAAGCAGTATTCCATGTTGTACTTCATCAGGCGGTATTTGTACACGCTGCCAACAACTGGGAAATGGTGCTAAAAACCAACAAGTGCACAGATTAGGTAGTGCTAGAGAGTGGGAAAGAATTTTGGAAAGAATTGCTGCACAAAAAACAAAAAGTTTATGCTTTGTGGGCGTAGGTTAGTTTGTCGTCATAGCTACCCATATGGAAACGATATATATAAATCTTATAAAGTTTGTATCTGTCTTGTGTGAAACTTATATGAAAAGCATATAAGGGTGAAAACAGATATAAGATCCCTTGAAAAATTTTATAATGAAACTTGTATGTTTTGGATACTTACGAAAACAATGTATGAAAGTAATGAGAAAGTGGCCACTTTCATGAGTAATCACATATAAGTTTTTACTATTTTTTTCCATATATAAGCAGTTAAAAAAAACTACAAAAAAATGAAGTTGTAGTAGTTGACTCAGTGCTTTACAAGGAAGTTTTCAATACAATGTCTAGCATGAATGTTTTTATTTGTGCCTGACAATCCTGTTTTTGAAATGAAAGCAATTCAGGGCAGCAACATCAGATAGAGATTGTTTCACCTCTTCCTAGAATTTTAAAACTTTTCTTATATGCGGAGTCAAGCTACAGTAGTCATATATATTTCTACTTGATTTATACCTACCGTTTGGTTCAGATGGGTGTTGCGAACAGAGAGGTTGTAAGTCATCTCGGCGTAGAGTGTCACCATGGAAAGCGCTGGGGTGTGGTTGTTTGATGGATACCTCATCGGTCCCTTCATAGTGATGGTGGCACTGTTGTTTTCAATTTCCACAGAAAGCAGTGGGGGCCCCAAAGTAGCTACAAAGTTGGACAAACCTCTATTGTTTAAAGTGTAAACATGTTAAATATGATGTAATGCTTTTGTTTCTTTAACTTACTGTCTGTCTTTGGTTCAAATCTCCTGGGTGTGAAAGCCCATTTGGAAGAAGCCCATTTGGAAGACGCTCCCCTCTCCACAGCACGAACTTTGGCATAGTAACCCTGGTTCTCATCCCACATCTCACTGGTTAGATCACACCACGTCCGGACTATTTTTGTACAGTGCTGCACTGCCTTCCAGTTCACCCGTTTCCCCTTCTTACCTTGAATTCTGTCTCCATAGCTGGAAAAGACAAAGACCCACACATTCAGAGGTGAACTTTTGCACAGGTTGAGCAGAGTTTGCTTAAAGTCACAGTCAATAAAGAAAATTAACTTAAACAAGGCAGACTGATTTTGAGATCGTGTTGCATTTTATTTCTTTTAGCCTTGCTGGAACTTTTTTTTGTTGCCAATAAATCCCTTTGGGACTGCATCTAGGCTAGTTCTTGGGAACTATACATTTTTATTTAAATTCTAAAACATTTACTCACATGGCATATTGCACTGTGTAGAGCGTTTCATCTGCGTAATTGCCTTCTCCTGGAAACCACTGCAGCACGTTCCTCAGATTTACAGAAGAGAAGGTGACATTGATGGGGCTGGGAACAGACTGGGAGACTGAGGGGAAAGAGACAAGAGGTGAGGTGCCTGTCATCAGAATATACACTAGCTTCTAGTTGTCCTGACTGACCTTTAAACTTCCCCTGTGTTTAATGGTACTATTCAACTAGTTGTCCACATATGACCATAAGGTGTGAGCTGTCACTATGATTCACTGCCTTTCAGACTTTGTTCCACCTCACACAGTACACTTAGCTCCTTATAAATCATTTCAAGTAGCCAAACACAATAAAAGTGTTTGATTAAAGATTCTCTATGGGAAGATTATCCAGAGTACATTTTCTGTTTGCACACAGATCAAATAATGTGTTTTATGCTTTGATCTCAGGATGAAAAACCAGAGTCTGTAAAGTGAGTTTACACTTAAAGTAGAGCTAGATGGACTAATACATTTTTTGTGTTTTTGTGTTAACAAAACCACACGTGTTTGTAGCTCTAACAGCCGCTTTCTGTACTTAATGTGGAAGAACTAAATTACAATGTGTTAATTTCTTTAATGATCTCATCGTTGGCTGCATTGTTGTAGTATAAAAGTCAGTCCGCTTAAACTGAATAAACGCCATAAAACTAACTGGACAAAATGGAAACAGTGGAAACAAAGAAACCCAGCAGCCACAAAGTAACAACAAAGAAAATAGATATTAGCATTTAAATGCAGACCTACCTGTGGAGTGCAGGCTATAAAAAATGAATAATGTGAATATAGCCAACATCTTTGTACGGAGTCGTCATGTTTTCACAAAAACAAGAAAGCAAATACTTCCAATCCCCTCGGCAGGTTCCCCCCAGTTCCTCCTCATAGTACACCTGCCCGCAGTTCTCTCGATTAAAGGAAATTAAAACCACGCACTCAAGGTTTAAAGTGAAAGAATGTAGCTGAAGTCGGAAGGGTTACGTGAAACTGCCAACCAATAAAACCCCGTGGATTCAGTTAAAGGAATCCCTGCGACCTGACAGGCTTCCTTGTTCCTTTTGGGGAAAGGAATGTGACCTTACTCGTTTGTGAACAGTTCACCTGTGAGCCGCGCGTGGGCGTGGGCGTGTCGACGTCTATTGAGATAATAGGCTACAAAAATCTAAGCTTAAGTACAAATAGTTAGTAAACTATTAGATCCACTCCAATATGTGGAAAGAAAAAATACATTATACGTGACCCATTTCCAAATAAATCCGTGAACTGTGTTTAGTTTTGTGGTGGTGTGGCGTGTGGAGGCTGTTATGTGGGAACAGGTACACTTTCCTTAAGATGTTCCTGTGGTGTTTATCCGGATAGCAGCCTGAGTAATAAGGTGCTCCGTGTTATTTCCTTAGTCCGTTTCCCCCCAGCTAATATCCTCTCTCTCTCTCTAAATACACTGTCAAATGAGATTAGATATTAAAAATTAATATTGACCCTACTGAGCTAAACCTGGGTAACCCATTTGCAAAGAGAAAGCTGTTTTGTTTAAAGTGTAAACATTTACTCTTACTCTTCTTCATCACACCACCAATTATTCCACCACGAACCTCACGAAAGCTATAAACAAAACATGGAAAAATCAATTAGCAAATATCGAGAAGAACAGCAGGTGCTCAAACATCGTCCATTGTGACATCTTGTGGCCACAGACCTGTCTTAGTGAAGGGACAGAATTTTTGAATACAGATTTTAAACACTCAAAAATGCAAGCGTTGTGATAAATATTTGGAAAAAATATATATTATTAATGTGTAACTTTATTATTTGCAAATTACTGAGGTATGAGAATTACAATTTCTAATAATAATAATTAAGCAAAGAAACAATGGGGCGGAACTGTCCCGCTTGTGTTTCCGTTGCACGCCCGGATTGTTTTTGCCATCGCGCTTCTCATGCGGCCGCTTTCATTCTGCTTCCTTTTAGCATTTAGCTAGATGGGGTGGTTATCGTCTGTGCTCCCGTAGAGGAGTAACGGGTTTGAATTCTGGGATGGTTCGTTGAATAATTGTCTTTTGGTTGCAAACATGGCGCTTTCGATGGAAACACAGCTTCAGAGCATCTTTGAAGATGTTGTGGTAACTTGCACCTTTGTTTACTGAGTGTCAGCCGAGCTAACATTAGTTAGCATGTCAGATAACTGTAGTAGTATTTTCTATTTACTGAACTTTGGATTGCAAATGAGCAGTCCTAAATATAACCAGATGGTGTTTTTACTTTATGTCCCCAGCTCGCTAACATGAGAATTAACAGCTATGGGTGCACCGTTAATATCACAAATCTTCACTTACGTTAATGTATTTTTATTTTCTCCTTCTTTTCTTAGAAAACTGAGATGATAGAAGAGGCCTTTGCTGGGTAAGGCTGCTCTGAATTCATGTTAATAACGCCCGATATTTGCAATTGCATTGTTATTAGCTTTAAAAGGTGTAATGTTAAGTTACTGCACACTGGTAATGCTGCTGGATGTTTCAGCAGTAAGACCATACATACACTCACAGGCCACTTTGTTAGGTGCTGGAAACATTTCTCAGAGATTCTGGTCCACATTGACATGACAGCATCACACAGTTGCTGCAGATTTGTTGGCTGCTCCATCCATGATGTGAATCTCCTGTTTCACCACACCCCAAAAGTGTTCTGCTGGATTGAGATAGAAAAGAATAGAATAGAATAGAATGCCTTTATTGTCACTATACAGTTGTACAATGAGATATAGAGCACCTCCTACTCAGTGTAAACATGCTGGGGGGGGTACAGTTCCTGCAGAAACTTGACTTGGTGTCCAAGTCCACCATAAACAGAAGACAGCATGAAAGTAAATACAGAGGGTTCTGTACAGTTCTGCAGCGCTATGTACATATGGACAGTATTAACATAGGGAAAAAACAATATATATATATAAAATGTACAATATACAAGACGTAAGTAATATGTAATAAATAGTGTTATGTATATACAGTTGAGTTATTGCACATAGAATTGGTATTGCACAGTGGTGGTCCATAGAGGAAGTGGGAAGTGGGGGGCTGTGTTATCTGTGCATGTGTGAGTTCAGGGTGGTTATCGCTTTGGGGAAGAAACTGTTTTTGAGTCTGTGGGTTTTTGTGTTGATGCACCTGTAGCGCTTCCCTGAGGGAAGCAGGCTGAACATGTTGAAGCCAGGGTGGGAGCTGTCCTTGATAATGTTTGCTGCTCTGGTGAGGCAGCGGGAGGAATAAATGTCCATCAGGGAGGGGAGAGGGCAGCCGATGATCTTTTGTGCTGTCTTGACCACACTCTGAAGCCTCACTCTATCTGCTTTGGTGCAACTGCCGTACCATACCGTGATGCAGTAGGTTAGCAGGCTCTCAATGGACGAGCGGTAGAAGGTCAGCAGCAGGTTGGAGTTCAGCTTGTACTTCCTGAGGACTCTCAGGAAGTGCAGCCGCTGTTGGGCCTTCTTGATGACCGCTGAGATGTTTCCTGTCCAGGAGATGTCAGCAGAGATGAGAACACCAAGGAACCGGAAGGTGTGGACCCTCTCCACACACTACCCGTTGATGTAGAGGGGGGCCAAGTCAGTGCTCTGTCTCCTGAAGTCAACAATGAGCTCTTTGGTTTTCTTAGTGTTCAGTGCCAGGTTGTTTTCTGAACACCATGCTGCCAGCTTCAGGACTTCCTCTCTGTAGTCTGCCTCGTCTCCCTTCGAGATGAGATGAGATCTGGTGACTGTGGAGATCATTTGAGTACATTGAACTCATTGTCATGTTCGAGAAACTAGTTTGATGTAATTTGAATTTTAAGACATGCTGTGTTATCCTGCTTTGCTTCAGTTGCCTGTTCTTAGTTTATATTACCGGCATCCATTATGTTCCTCAGCTGCTGTAGTCCATCTGCCTCGGGGTTTGACATGTTGTGTTCAGAGAGGCTCTTCTGAAGAGGGGGGTTGTGTTTATTGGAGTTGCTTTTTTGTTCCCAGCACCTCAAAGCAATCTGGCCATTGTCCTATGACCTCAACAAGGCATTTTCCCCCAGAGAACTGCTGCTTGCTGCCTTTTCTCTCTTTTCTGGACCATTCTCTGAAAACCCTAGAGATGTATATGTGGGGAAATTCCCAGCAGATCATCAGTTTCTGAAATAATCAGACCAACCTGTTTAGCACCTACAACCATGCCATGTTCAAAGTCACTTAAATCACCTTTCTTCCCCATTCTTATGCTCAGTTTGAACTTAACTAGGTCTTCTTGACCATGTCCACATGCCTAAAGGCAGTTAGGTGATGTCGTGTGATCGATTGATTAGATAACTGTATTGAAAAGATGTGGCTAACAGAGTGGCCGGTGTGTGTATATTAAAATGTATGGAGCAAAATTAAATGCTAAAATTAAGAAGTGTGTTTTTAGGATGTTTATGGACACTCCAGAGGATGAGAGGACTAAGCTGATCAGTTGTCTTGGAGCCTTCAGACAGTACTGGGGAACCCTGCCACAGGTTTTTACACACACACATACACTCCCACTTGCTCACACCTACATGGCTGAGATTTCTCAGTTGCTCCAATGTCTTTCTGCAGGAGTCTCATGAACAGTGTGTGCAATGGATTGTGCGCTTTATACACAGTCAACACAGCCCCAAGAGGATCTCCTTCCTCTACGACTGTCTGGCAATGGCTGTGGAGACCAGTCTTTTACCACCCAGGTACACACATACATATAGTGTGAGATTATTTGACGCCTAAAGAAGTAAAATGGGTTCAAAGAATGATTTATAATATTTCCATATATTAATTTATTATATTTATCTGTTTTATGACATCCCAATAATGAGTTGTTTTTAACTGTATTTATTATGTTTGAGGTTATTTGTCTAAATCATTAATCTTCGTATCTTTAGGATGGTGTGCGTGGCCTTAATAAGCTCAGACAGTTTGGAGTGGGAGAGGACACAGTTGTGGGCATTAACTTTCAAGCTGATCCGCAAGATCATCGGGGGAGTGGACTACAAGGTCTCTGACACGAAACTTCTAGCACACAGACACATCTGGATCGATTCTTCCAATTCGTTTCTTCAATTCTTCGATTGTTTGTGCTTTTTTGTTTTGATTTTCAGTGGTTTTATTTTTGTTGACTGCTGCTAAACAGGGATCTCTGGCTTTTAGAAGAATATCCTACAATGTGTCATACATTTTAAAGTCGTTTTAAGCTTTCCACGTGAGACACTTGTTCATGAATTCTTTTATACTTGTTGCGTCAGGGTGTTCGGGACCTGTTGAAAGCTGTGCTGGATAAAATTCAAACTATTCCTACCACTGTCAGCTCAGCTATAGTCCAGCAGCTTTTGGCTGCCAGAGAGGTACCCATCTTTATACCTTTAAAATGAATTATATGTCATTTTTGATGGTTTATTTGAATACTTTTTAGGTTTACTTATATTTATGCATGTTGCAGGTGGTAGAATATATCCTGGACAGAAACGCCTGTCTCCTTCCAGCCTACTTTGCTATCACAGAAATTAGAAAACTGTATCCAGAGGGGCAGCTCTCACACTGGGTGAGTGTTTGTGTAGCTATGTGTAACATTATATGTAACACTATATAGTCTGAATTTTTATTTGTGAATTCCTTATCATGTCTGTGCATTTTCAGCTTTTGGGCAGTTTGATATCAGACTTTGTGGACAGTTTTAGACCCACAGCCCGGATCAACTCTATCTGTGGTAAGAGGAACTGGTTGCTTCTCCTTTTATGGATTCCTGGAGATTTAAATAAGCCACTTATCATTTGAAGTGTTATTATTATTAATAGGACAGTCACTAGAAAGTGAATGAAAACTAAAAAGACAGTTTGTAGTTATTTATCTCATGTAGTCAGTCTGGTATGTACAATCATTTGTTGCGTCCGTGTGTCCTCACAGGACGATGCAGTCTGTTGCCAGTGGTGAATAACAGCGGTGCTATTTGTAATTCCTGGAAATTAGACCCCAGCACTCTTCGCTTCCCTCTGAGAGGCATGCTGCCGTTTGACAAGGTAACAAACGCGCTGGACTTA